CAACTACCATGAACCTTGAGATCGAATGAATCGGTGTGGGACAAGGCGATTGTGAGACGCTAGGAGAGACAACAATGGTTGGAAACAACCTCTCAATTGCTAGGCCAAGGAAAGCATTATAGGCTACAAATGTAGCCCTCTTGGCTCGAGCAATTGAGGGTCGCCTTAATTTCTCCCTCAAACCGGAGTTTGGAGCGGCCAAAGCACAATTAACCAAGATGCTAAATTTGAGTTTAGAGATTTGCCCTACATTAACCTAGTTAGGGGGCATAGAATACCTAGGAAACCCAACTCAATTAGAGTCTCTTTAGAAAAGGGGATTTCCCTCTAAGCTAGGTTAGAATAGCACAATAGATTGCAAGGCACACATAATGCACAATCACCATGAAAAATACCTCAAATCTCAAATTAAACATCACCCACGCACAATCATTCAATCCATACAAGTAGCTACATGGTATAAGTTAGGGTTCTACAACACCCAAGTGAATAGGAGACTACTCCATGCTAGAAGAAGGAAGAACACAAAGGAAAGGGGAAAAACCATCATGCATGAGCAATCCTACTTTGTGCTTAAAGAGATCCTCCCTTGAAGAGGAACTTCCAAATTCTTGACTTGGATCAGAACCCTAGCCTCTTCTCCCTCTTGGTTCTTGACTTTATCTCTCTAGGGTTTCAAGAAGAAGAAGCTTTCTCTCACTTTGGGCTCTCCCTTCTTCTTCTTTTCAGCTCTCTATTTATACTCAGTTTGCGCCCAGTTCACGGTCGTGAACATCTGGCCGCAACCGTGAACTTTGATCAAAATACGCCGCTTCAATATGGGGTTCTCGGTCCATGGCCCCAGTTCACGATCTTAGCGACCGTGAACTACGTCGGCATCAGTAACCTTTGAAACCCCTCTGGACGCTTCGCGGTTCACAGTTTGTGGTTCCACTTCATGGTCCTGGCGATCGTTAACTCCAAGCTTTGACCATGAACTGCAGATGATTACTCCTCTTTGCCCGGTCTATGCTCATTTTCTTCCAACTTTCGATTGCGGGGTTGGTTTCACCTGTTAGACTCTGAAACACATTGAAACACAAGAAACCTGGCGTAAAACCATCCTTTTTGGAGCTCAATTGCCACAAATGTCAAAGAGAAACAGGGATAAAAAGTGTACATTTAGGTCCGAAACACATGGATATGTGCTTGGGATTTCAATCAAATCTGCTCTAATGCAGAAAATGCGGGAGGAAGACTTGTCTCAGAACAAAAACTCATTGGTTTAACAATGCTCTTACTGATGGTGGACTTATCGATCTGGGCTTCGTTGGGTAGCCATTTACATGGGAAAACAGAAGAGATATGCAGGCTTTTATTGAGGAACGTTTCGACCGGGCCGTGGCTAACAAGAAGTGGATGGACCTATACCCAAAGGCCCTTGTGATGGACCTGGAAGAGGTGGATTCGGATCATCTCCCAATTCTGATTGACATGGAGGGAGGGAGATAACATTAGATAGGGGAGAAATTTCGGCTTTGAGTCCTTTTGGGCAAAAGATGAGGAGAGCAACACCATCGTTAACGAAGTCTGGGAGCAAGCTGGGGTAGATAGTCTCGAAGAAAGTCTGAAGAAGTGCGAGATTAGATTAACAAGATGGAGCTCGAAGAAGTTCGGGGAGATACCGAAAAGAATTGCCCAAATTCCCAGAAATATCAAGGATATGATGACTCAAAGAAGGAACCCTGATTGGAGGTTGAGGAAAAGAAAGTTGGAGACCGAGCTACAAGATCTGCTCTACAAAAACGAACAAAGATGGAAACAAAGATCAAGAATGGAATGGTTGCGTCAGTGAGAAAAGAATACAAAGGCTTTCCATGCGAAGGCTACGGAGAGAAGAAGAAAGAATACCATTAAAATGTTGAAAGTTGAAAGTGGAAGACTGTTCAGAGGGCAGGAAGAAGTCAGTAATTGTCTCACTACCTACTATGGAGATCTGTTCGAAAGCAAAACCGAATGTGTCAACTGGAAGGCCATTAAAGCTGTGGAGAGGAAAGTCGCCAATTATATGTGTAGACACTAGACACCACACTTTGTCCGGAGCAACTGCTCTACTTAAAACGCAAAAGCTAAATATTAAAGTGAAAGTTTGAATAGAATTGGTTGAGACTATCAGTGGCAAGTCGACAAGTACCAATGATTTCCAAATTTACTTTTGTTTAATTCTAGTACAATTTGATTGAGACTAGCAGTTATGAATCGATAAGTACTAATAATTATAGGTAAGGTTAGGTACGTATTAGTTGAGATTAGGCGAGGCTAATTTTGAACATCAAATGGGTAACAAAATGCTTAGGGCTAATTTTCATTTGGCAAACATAATTAAGGTTTTGACAGTCGGAATTGAGCACACAAATTTTTTGACAAGATTGGAATACATAGATTTCTTTGTCTGAATATCTTTACAATTTATACTTGCTCTTGAATTCAGAGATAAAATCACTATTACAACTACCAAATACAACTATACAAGTCTACTAATTACAAGGAAAGAAGTAAACGAAGTTCTAAGGGCCTCCATAACTCATCACCTTGGGCCCAAAAGCAAAGATCTGCAAAATGAAGAAGAAATCGATTAGTTTGAACCCAAATTCAAAACAATTATAACTCGGGTTAATTGCATGGTTGGTCACTGAGATAACAAAAAACGTTCAAGTTTGGTCACTAGAAATATTTAAATCCATTGGTGGTACTTCAGTTTACAAAAATTGTTCATGTTACTCTTCGTCCAACTCCGTTAAGTTTGGATGACGTGGCAGTCAACCCTCAAAGTTGACCGTTAACTTAGTGACATGGAAATTAAAAAATCATAAATAAAATAAAATTTAATCTTTTACAATTTCCAACTCATTTTCACAATAAAATAAATAAAACAGAAAAATTATAATTAGAGATTTAATCTTCCTCCTGCCGGAGAATCGCTCCCGGAATTTGACTCGTGTGGAAGTTTACACTGGCAGCGCAGGTAGTGGCAGTTTATGTACAGGATGAGGGATCCGATACATCGCCGCCGCCAGTACTTGCTGAAGCCTCGCTTGCAATTGCGGCATTACCTGCGTTTGAGGCTGTGGTGGTGGCCGCGATTGCAGTAACTGCTTTGGCAGCGGCGGCGGCCTCAGATTCAAATGTAATTCCAATCCCGCTTCGGAAAGCTCTCGCGACTTCAGCTGTGGTGTTTGTAACTGCAAATGCAGCTGCAGCATCGAATCCGACTGTTGCTGAAGCAGGTGAGAGTCATGCTCCGCCGCTCTACAGACGGCCGTGAAATCAAGCTGCCGCGCTAATTTCCTAGGCGCGAAATCCGAAACCGTTTCTCCTTGCTCCATCTCTCAGCAAGCAATCAATCAGCGAAACGTGTTCTCTCCCGAGCTCTTTCCCCCCAGCCCCCTTTCTAGTCTAATTCGCAATTCGTCCTTTCGATTTCTCTCGTCAATCCCTGAGAGCTCTGAAGTTGGAAGAAGTTCCGTACCAGAACGACGATGCAGCGGAAGTAGAAGATCTCCACCGTCTGCGGGAGCTCATCAATGGAGGAGCCGGGAGTTCGAGGAAGTGGAGGGGACTAGGGAAGCAGACAGCATCCCCGCCTACGACTCCGAGTCCAAGCCCGCCGCCACCTCCCAAATACATTTTGTCCGCTTCCGGGAGCAATTCTCCAGCGGGAGAAGGATTAAATCTCTAATTATAATTTTTTTATTTATTTTTTTTATTGTGAAAATGAGTTGGAAATTGTAAAACATTAAATTAAATTTTATTTATTATTTTTTAATTGCCACGTCACTAAGTTAACGGTCAACTTTGAGAGTTGACTGCCACGTCAGCCAAACTTAACGGAGTTGGACGGAGAGTGACCAAACATGAACAATTTTTATAAACTGAAATACCACCAATGGATTTAAATATTTCTAGTGACCAAACTTGAATTTTTTTATAATCTCAGTGACCAATCATGCAATTAACCCATTATAACTCAAAGCCAAGGCCACAATCAAGCCCAGGCCCATCTTTGACCAACACAGTCCAGCCCGGTCAACGAGTCAACTACGGTCAACTCGGGTTAATGGACTCCTTGATAATTATCTCATCGCAAAGGGCCAATCACGATTACTGCCACTCTTCTTGAAAAGAGTAATAAGGCAACCTCTCAAGGAGACCAACAAAACTTGTCCAACACAACAAAATGAACAGAAAAAAAGCATCTATATACAGGAGCTGGTCGGTTACAATAAGGGGGGAGGGATGGTTTTGAAGGAAGTCAGTTGAAAAGAAAAGACCTGATTGGTGACCCTTTTGGGGGCGAAAAGAAACAGAGTGGTGGGGAGGAAATTTTATTTGTGTTATTGGGGAGGAGATCTGATTGATAACAAGGAAAGAAAGGATAGAGCAGCAGCAAGCAGCTCGAAGGGAAGCTGAAACAGAGCAACAAGCAACAACACAGGTCCATCCACAAAAGCCAGGTTGGTAATTCTAAAATCTATGTCAAAATTCATCAAATACCACATCCATTTAGGAGAATAATCGCTCATCTCAATATGTGCATGTCTGAAATTAGAAATAAAGTAGTAATGAATATTTTCCGGGTTAATTGCAAGGATGGTCACTGGGTTTACTAAAACCGTTCATGTTTGGTCACTGCAAATATTTAATTCCATTCATGGTCACTAAGATTAGTTCAATAGTTCAAGTTTGGTCACTCTCCGTAGTCTCCGTTAGTTTTTGCTGATGTGGCAGTCAACTATTATAGTTGACCGTTAAATATGTGATATGGCCATTAAAAAAATAATAAAATAATAAATTTTAAATATTTACAATTTACACCTCATTTTACATATCCCAATTCAATCACCTACTCTAGGCCCAATTCTATATACCAAACACTATAAATTTGACAATCCACCCATTTCGTAGAAATCGAAAGAACCATTATTTCTTGAGATGCAAATTCCAAAGACTTAATCCCCAAATTAAGCAAGCAGCTCTGGCCTAGCAAGCAGGCGTGGAGTCGGCACTGCGATTAACGGCCTTTTCTTCTTGATCAACAGCGCAAACTCATCGGCAAAATCAACAACTCCTCCTTCCCCGTCGGCAAGCTTCCACTCGAAACAATGCAAGAACGAAGCCAATACATACTTCATCAGCCTCTCCGCCGAATGCACTCCCGCACAGCTCCTCCGACCCGACCCGAACGGAATGTACCGGAAACCACTGCTCCCGCCGCCCATGAAATCAAACGCCGGCGGTCTCCCGTCCCCACCGTCCAGAAATCGCTCCGGTCGGAAATCCGACGGCTCGTCCCAGAACTGATGGTCCCTGTGGATGGCCTGTCAAGCTCCATGAGCAGAGCAGAAGAAAAGGAAGAAGATGAAGAAGACGAAGAACAGTCCAACGAGCAGCAACGGTCGACTGAACAAGGAGGGAAATCTGGAAGACAAAAAGGAAAAGAACAGCTAATTACAAACGGCAACGTTTAGTATATATTTGTCTATATTAGTTTATTTATTTCTTATTAGCTGTAACTAGTAGTAGAAAGCCACTTGTCTCCTTTTTGTTGGACGAGTTGGTTATTGTTAGTTTGTCCTGTAGCTCTGCCTACTCTGTACATATTCTGCCGCAAGGCTGCAATGGAAAGTAAGAAATCATTCCACAATCCTCTCTTTTATCAATTATTCTCATGGTATCAGAGCCTCTGGCTTACCTCACCTAGGGTTTCGTGACCTCTCGAAAGCACAACAATGGCGGCTACTCAGGACGAAGCTACTGGAGAGACAACCAGAGTCCTCACAGGAGCACAGAACACTGTCAATCAACAACAACGACAAGCTGTGGATCCTTACTACGTTAACCCAAATGAAAACCTGTCCCAAGGTATTATTTCCATCAAACTCGACGGAACCAACTATCATGTATGGAGTAGATCAATGCGAATAGCACTTAAGACCAAGAAGAAGCTTGGGTTTGTTAATGGTACCTTACCTATGCCTGAACCAACAGATCCAGATTATGAAATCTGGGATCAGAGTAACACCAACGTAATGGGTTGGATTTTGAATTCATTGATTGATCCCATAGCTGAGGCTGTGATGGATAATGAGACTGCTCAGGACTTATGGAAAGATCTGCAGGAAAGATATGGAGAAGCAGATTCAGTTAGACTAGCTCATGTTAAAGGGCTAATTGCATCTTGCAAACAGGAGAAGAGTACTGTGACTGAGTACTACAACAGATTAGGTGTATTCTGGACAGAATACATGTCATTCAAGTCTATTCCACCATGTGAATGTGGTGATACACCTCATACCATGAACTGTGTAACCTATGCTGCTGTCAAAGAATCCCAGGAACAAGATCACACTATTGACTTCATCATGGGTCTGAGTGATGCCTTTGAAATGACTAAGAATCAACTGTTGATGATGGATCCAGCTCCAAGCCTCAAGGTGGCATACAAGTATGCTCTCAAACTGGAAAGACAGATGACAAAACAACCACCCAAAGAAGTAATAGGAGTGGATTCAGTAGCATTGGCTGCTGCAAATCAAGGAAGAAACAGAGACCAAAGAGTTGAGTATCCAAGAGGTGGAAGACAAAACACATACCAAGGGAATTACCCTAGCAATCAACAGAGAGGAACCAATGAAACAGGTGGAGGTGGCCAACAAAATCTGTTTTGCAACTACTGTAAGAGGACTAACCATGTCATGGCAGATTGCTGGAGGCTTAAGAGAAAAAGAGGAGAGTTAGCAGGACCAAACTTTGCTGGAGCAGCCACATCTGGTGGTAATCATGATCAGGGAATCAGCAGTTTCTCAGCTGCAAATGAACAGGACAACAGAAGTCAGAACACTACCACACTTCAATTGACAGCTGAAGATTGCAGCAGACTGATGATGCTATTGCAGCAACAAAACACTGGAAGTCAAGCAACAAGCCAACCAAATATTCAACCTCAAGCTCACTCAGTCTCAAGACACATTAATCAGATGCCAGACAATGCAGGTAAATTCATCCTATCTACTTTTACTGCCTGTCAACAGAAGGAATTGTTGAATAGTTGGATTATAGATACTGGTGCATCTGATCACATGTGCTGTAGCCTTTCCTCTTTCACCAAACACTACCCTGTAGAAAATGTGTTTGTTACCTTACCAACCAGTGCTAGAATCAAGGTAGCAAACATTGGAACAGTTAGAATCAATGACAACCTGACCCTAAACAATGTCCTACATGTTCCCAGTTTCACTTTCAATCTCATTTCTGTCAGTTCCCTAACCAAAACTCTACCTATTACCCTAAGCTTTCAATCTGACTTCTGTGTTGTTCAGGACCTTCATACACAGAAGAGGATTGGTTTTGCAAAAGAGCTTAGAGGACTATACCACCTACACTCAGCCATTCACAACCTTGAACCAGCCATCAACTTAGTAGCAGCAGTGAGCAACTCAGAGAATCAAGACATGCACTTGTGGCATGCTAGATTAGGGCATCTTTCCAATTCCAGAACCAAACTACTTCAAAAATGTAATCCTGAATTGCCAGTGAATCTTGTTGATCACTGTGAGACATGTCATTTGGCTAGACAAAAGAAGCTGCCTTTCTCCTCCAGTTCTCATACTAGCAAAGAACCTTTTGAGATCATACACTGTGACATCTGGGGCCCTTTAAACACTACTTCCTATGATGGTTTTTCCTACTTCTTGACCATTGTAGATGATTTCTCTAGGGCTGTTTGGACTTATCTCATGAAAACTAAATCAGAGGCAAGACCTCTCTTGCAACAATTCTGCACAATGGTGCATAAACAGTTTGATAAACCTGTCAAAACCATTCGATCTGACCAAGGAAAGGAATTCCTCATGGCAGATTTCTTTAGAGAACATGGAATCACTCACCAAATGTCCTGTGTTGAAAGACAACAACAGAATGGAAGAGTAGAAAGGAAGCATCAGGACATTTTAAACATAGCAAGAGCCTTAAGATTCCAGTCTAATGTACCCTTAACTTTCTGGAGTGATTGCATACTCTATGCTGTTCACATCCTCAACAGACTTCCCACACCAATCCTCAACAACAAAACTCCCTTTGAGAAACTTTATAGCAAACCACCAGATTACACACCACTTCGAGTGTTTGGCTCACTATGCTATGCTTCTACCATAGAATCAGGAAGGACTAAGTTTCAACCAAGAGCTAGAAAAGGGATATTCCTTGGCATACTGCCAGGAATCAAGGGATACAAAATTTATGATCTCTCAACTAAACAAGTCTTTGCTTCCAGAGATGTGTCCTTTCATGAATCTATTTTTCCTTTTGCATCAACTGTTCCTCCTAATACCTCTAAACCTCCCTCACCTAATACCATTCCTCCTCCTGTCCCTTCATTCTTCTCATCTCAACCTTTTTCCCAAAACCCAGCACATGATCATTTGCATACAGGTCTAGATTCAGCTGTTCATACAGCTCCTAATGATGCACAGTCACCAGGTTTCATTGATTTTGAAACCATGGATGAAAACCATGCTGAGATTCAGAATGAAGAGGAAGCAGAAGGAGAAGGGGGGATTGACACAGTAACTCAATCGCCTCAAGCACCTATTTCCTCAAGAAAACCATCTACTCCTTTAAGGAAGTCTGGCAGGACAAGTAAACCACCATTGTGGCATCAGGACTATTTTGTTGGAAGTTCTCAGACCAAGTATCCAATATCATCTTTCATGGACTACAATCAGCTCAGTCAGGAATACAAACATTACTCACTTGCAGTAGCTGATCTGCATGACCCACAGACTTTTGATGAAGCCATGATGGAAGAATGTTGGAGAGAAGCAGTGAAGGAAGAATTAACAGCATTAATAGCCAATCACACATGGGACATAGTGGATTGTCCAGTTGGAAAGAAACTAATTGGTAACAAGTGGATTTTCAAGACTAAGCTACTGGCAGATGGTGCAATTGAAAGGTACAAGGCAAGGCTCGTGGCACAAGGATTCACACAAATACCAGGAGTGGATTTCCTAGACACCTTCTCACCAGTAGCAAAGATCAATACCATCAAAATTCTCATGGCAGTGGCAGCTATCAAGAATTGGCACTTAAGCCAAATGGACATCAGCAATGCTTTTCTAAATGGAGACTTAGAGGAAGAAGTCTACATGAAAATACCATTGGGAATTGAAGGAATGGAAGGGAAAGCTTGCAGGCTAAGAAAATCCCTTTATGGATTGAAGCAGGCAAGCAGGCAGTGGTATGCCAAGCTAACAGAAGCACTAGTGAGCTTTGGCTATACTCAATCCTATTCAGACTATTCACTTTTCACAAAGAAGAATGATAAAGGGATTGCAGTTATCCTAGTCTATGTAGATGATCTGATTTTCTCTGGAGATAATGAAGAACTCATTCAGGAATCCAAGGAGTTTCTATCTAAGCAGTTCAAAGTCAGAGACCTTGGGAAGTTGAAATACTTCCTTGGTTTGGAAGTGGCAAGAAGCAGTTCTGGAATTTCTGTGACACAAAGAAAATACTGTCTAGACCTACTTAAAGATACAGGGTTTCTAAATGGGAAACCGTGCAGAACTCCATCAGACATGAAGACTAGACTAACACAGTTTAGTGATGAACCACAAGCAGATCCACATCAATACAAATCACTGATTGGAAGGCTGGGCTATCTAACAACAACCAGACCAGACATATCCTTTGCTGTGCAGCAACTATGTCAATTTCAAGCTCAACCAAAGATCTCACATGTGAAAGCTGCACACAGAATACTCAGATACTTAAAGGGCTCCCCTGGTCAGGGTCTGTTCTTCGCATCAAACACAGATTTTAGCCTTACTGGCTATAGTGATTCAGACTGGGGGGCTTGCCCAGACACAAGGAGATCAATCACAGGCTATTGTACGTTTCTGGGAAGTTCATTGATTACCTGGAAAGCGAAGAAGCAGGCAATAGTCTCAAAGTCCTCTTCGGAGGCAGAGTACAGGTCCTTAGCACAGATGTCATGCGAAATCCAGTGGGTAACACAGGTGCTGAAGGATTTGGGAGTGAATTACAATGGGCCAGCAACTGCATTCTGCGACAACAAATCGGCGATTCATATGGCAGAAAACCCAGTGTTTCACGAAAGGACGAAACACATAGAAATTGATTGCCACATCATTAGAGAAAGAGTGAAGTCAGGATTGATTAATTTGAGATACGTTTGTACTGACCGGAACTTGGCAGATGTGTTTACAAAGGGACTCAGCGTGCACCGCTTCAAATGGATCATCTTCAAGCTGGGAGTATACGATATATACTCGCCAGCTTGTGGGGGGCTGTCAAGCTCCATGAGCAGAGCAGAAGAAAAGGAAGAAGATGAAGAAGACGAAGAACAGTCCAACGAGCAGCAACGGTCGACTGAACAAGGAGGGAAATCTGGAAGACAAAAAGGAAAAGAACAGCTAATTACAAACGGCAACGTTTAGTATATATTTGTCTATATTAGTTTATTTATTTCTTATTAGCTGTAACTAGTAGTAGAAAGCCACTTGTCTCCTTTTTGTTGGACGAGTTGGTTATTGTTAGTTTGTCCTGTAGCTCTGCCTACTCTGTACATATTCTGCCGCAAGGCTGCAATGGAAAGTAAGAAATCATTCCACAATCCTCTCTTTTATCAATTATTCTCATGGCCCAACCATTGACGACGACTTCCGTCCCTTGGGGGACAGTGAATTCGCCGACGGTACAGGTTTGGTTCGCCGTCCGGGTGACGAGGGCGAGGTGTAATCGACACGTCTCTTTTATGACGGCGTCCAGGTATTTGAGGTTTCTAAGATGGTGGTCCTTGACTAGGCTGTCGAGTCCCAGCATTTTGTCTAGCTCTCGCTTCACTGATTTCATTGCCTTGTCGCTGTTAAGTAGCTCTGACATTGCCCACTCGATCATTCTCGATATGTTTTCGTTCCCAGCAACGACGATATCCTGCCAAAATGCACACAAACATTCGTTTATTAACTGTTAGGTAATCGAATTTCGCTTGAGAAACTAACCGATCTCAATAATACCCTGACAGAAGATTAACTATTAATCATCTAAATTAAATAACTCGAGTCGTTGAGAGAAAACGTTATTTACGTATCGTCATCACTCTTACAGTACGGTACCTGGAGCAGGGGCTTTGAAATGGGCCATGGAAGCCAAGGACGATGCAGCACCAGAATCCAGCAGAATCTGCAACAAATCCTTCTTCTTGTTATTAACCCCATCCCCTTCCTTCTTCTCTCCACCACCGCCCAATCTCTTCTCAATCGCCGCGCTCACAATCCGATCAAACCGTTGAGGCATCCGGCGCCAGAGGTATAGAAGATGTAGCTGGGGAGGCCGAATTCGTCGGCGACGTCGATGAATGTGGTGCAGAACATGTCCACGAGGAGCCCGGAGACGAGAGGGGAGGCCTGGACGAGCTTAGCGACGGCGTCGCGGACGTGGGATTTGTATGAATCCATGAAGAATTTGACGACGTCTTTGACGGTGGGGTCGACGGCGGCGTCGTTGGGTGGGAGGTCGACGAACTTGACCCGGTCGGAGAGCGCAGCGGCGGCGAGGGATTTGGTCATGACGCAAAGGGAGACGATCGCGTAGATGGCGGTGGTAGGTTTTATTTTTATTTTTTAATAGTTGTAAAATGAGGTGTAAATTGTAAATATTTAAAATTTAAAATTTAAAATTTTATTATTTTTTAATGGCCACGTCACTCATTTAACGGTCAACTATAATAGTTGACTGCCACATTAGCAAAAACTAACGGAGACTAACGGAGAGTGACCAAACTTGAACTATTGAACTAATCTTAGTGACCATGAATGGAATTAAATATTTGCAGTGACCAAACATGAACGGTTTTAGTAAACCCAGTGACCATTTTTGCAATTAACCCAATATTTTCCATTATAGATCTGCATGTAGATGATCAGATATTTGTGTATGTGAATAGATTTGCTCTACATCTAAAGCTTGCCATAATGATTATCTTATCACTAAATAAGCTAGGTATGTACGCATCTATGAGTTTTTGTGAAAATAATATGTACTAGCATAGCTAGTAGAAAGTCGGCCTAAGCAAGATAGAAGTAAAAATCAGATGTAATTTTCATCATATTCTAGTCATGGTTATCATAAATCTCACAAAAACTCAATCTAGATCTTGCCCAAAACACAAGTTTGCAAACCTCAGATCATTCTCAAACCTTCAGAAAACAACTTTTCGAAATAAATTCACATCTTCCACGTAAGGAGTCAAAAACCCCAAATCCAGGTAGGTACTCTAAAAACACCCTTAATTCGAGCACAGATTGGTAGCATATCAACATACCATCATCACAAACTTCGTTTTACATGGTTTATTTAGTCTAGCAGATCACCAGCAGTGGCGGTGATCACTAGAAATATACAGTGTATTCTAGTCTACTGGATCACCAGCAGTAGCGAGGATCTCTAAAAAGCAATACAGATTCATCTTCATTGTTATGGCAAATGGTTGTTTCAAATAGCATATAGACATAAAATCCTCAAAACTCAGTTGTTTTGCTTAATAGATCGAGATTAGGCGAACCGAAACCAACATCCCAACCAACCCAACATAATCCTAATTCCAGATTTACCTAAACTTCTCAAAAAAAACCCACGCACCAACACCAAAACCCAAGTTCGAAATTATAGCAAATCTAGAATAATTAGGTATGTAAATCACGTCAAAAATCAATCATCTACACCTAGCCTAAAGAGCCATCGAAGCAATGGTAAGGGTTTAGGAAGGAATTCACCTAGATGTCTTAATCTGAAACCTGCAAATGTGAGGAGTACAATCAGAATCGACCAAATACACAAGATTACAATCCATGACCTACAGAAATATTGAAATAAAAAAACTAAAAAACATAGGCTTACCCACTTTCTCGTCCAAAAAACGTCTCACTCGCCGTCGGTGCTCTCCTCACAGCTTCTCATCGTCGCCATGGCCACTGTTAACGAAAAGTAAAATGAGATTTGGAGAAGAAGCTCAGGTATCTCTGAGTCTTCCTTTAGCTTTTATAGCTGGAAATCGATTAACCAAAACAAGCCAGCTGTCCTTACAGCATTCGTCCAAATTAAAACTAAACAGTAACTTAACGGCTAATAAGAAAAACAAATGAAACGTTGTCATTCTCTCTTGATCACTCCTTTGCTTCCAGTACGTCGTCGTTCTTCTTTCCTCCTTTAAAGTCTTCAGCAACACAGCTTCTCTTCTGCAACTCTGCACTCTTCTCTCCATCCTGCAACTCTTCGATTCTGTCAGCCCCCCTCAAGTTGGTGGTATCAACTTGATCCCCAACTTGACAAGTAATTCTCTTAGCCTAAATCGATCCAACCCCTTGGTGAATATATCAGCAAGTTGCTCTGCTGTGTTGATGTACTTCAAAGCAATTAAACCAGTCTTGATCCTTTCCCTTGTCACATGAATATCAATTTCAACGTGCTTTGTTCTCTCATGGAAAATGGGGTTTTCTGCTATATGTATAGCAGATCTGTTGTCACAGTGCACCGTTATAGGCAAAGGAACCTCCACTGTTAACTCAGTCAGCAACCTCTTCAGCCATTCCACTTCACAAACAAGATGAGCCAGTGCTCTGTATTCTGCCTCAGATGAAGATCTTGAGACAGTCGTTTGTTTCTTTGTTTTCCAGGTTACCAAGAAGGAACCAAGCATAGTGCAATATCCAGTAATGGATCTTCTAGTATCTGGACAACTCATCCAATCTGAGTCGCTCTAGCCTGTCAACTTCAACTCAGCTTCATTGCTAAAATGAATACCCTGGTCAGGAGATGATTTCAAGTATCTGAGGACCCTATAAGCAGCTTGCATATGCTCTGAGCAAGGGGACTTCTGATACTGACATAGCTGCTGAACAGCAAAGGCTATGCCAGGTCTGGTGATAGTTAGATAATGCAGCCTTCCCACCAATCTTCTGTAACTTTCTGCATCTTCCAGTAAGGTGCCCTAAGATGAAAGCTTCACCTTGGTATCTATTGTAGTTTTTCATCCTTTGGATTCCAGATATCCTGTGTTTTAACAAGTCAATGCAGTATTTCCTTTGACACACATCCAGTCCATTCTCATTTCTGTCCACTTCCAATCCCAGGAAATACTTCAAAGGTCCAAGAAGTTTTATCTTAAACTCCTTACTCAAGGCTGCTTTCACTTGCTCAATATCCTTCCTTGAATCACCTCCCAGTATGATATCATCAACATACACCAATAAGACTGTAATCTTACCATGAGTCCACTTAGTAAAAAGAGAGTAGTCAGAAGCAGATTGGGAAAAACCAAACTTCAAGAGAAAACCTGTCAATTTTGCAAACCATTGCCTTGATGCCTGCTTGAGGCCATAGAGTGACTTTTTCAGTCTACAAGTCATCTTCTGATTACTTCCAGAAGGCACTTCCAAACCCAGGGGTAACTTCATGTAAACCACTTCCTCTAAATCTCCATGTAGAAAAGCATTGGAGACATCCAACTGCTCTAGGACCCAGTGCTTTTGATAGACCGTTATTTACACATGTTTTTACCCCTGTTCTTACACCGTTTGAGGTGTTGATTCTCGTGTTTTAGGCCGATTTCACGCTAGGTTGTGCTTGTTTGTGATATTTCAGGTCCTAGTACGTGAATGGAGGCTTGGGAGCGAGTTTGGGGTCGATTGGACGAAGATCGGACGCATGGCGAGGTTCTAAGGAAGCCGCACGGGCAACCCTGGGTATCACACGGGGCTGCAAGTTGCACTTGTTTCCGTGTGATTTTTGCCGAGGCCAAGCACGGGCATCCCAGGAAATTCACACGGCCGTGCAACCCTGGCCGTGTGAGATGGCTGAAGATCGACTTAATGGTACGCTGCGTTTCGACTCGCACGGGCAAAGTGGTGAGCCAAAAGAGGGGGATTCAGCCAAAAGAGGGGGATTCGAGTTTTAGAGAGACAGACGATTCCTAGAGAGAGAAAGCGACGAACAAGAGTCTCCAAGTGCCCTAGCTTGATCTTCATCACCATTGGAGCTTGGCTTGAGCTTGGAAGAGTGCCGATCAACGTCCAGGAGCTGAAATCCATCCTTCACAGTATGGTTTCCGCATCTGATTCTGCTTTTGCTTCTTTCTCCATGGAGTAGTTCTCCCATTCATCTGGGTGTGGGAAACCCTAGATCTGTATGTTAGGATTGGTTGTATGAACCCAAGTACTGTTTCTATGATTTGATTATATTCGATTGAGGTTTGAATGATTGAATGGCATGAATCCTGATCAAATTCCTGTTGTTTCTGCTTTAACCTAGAATGAGAATATCTGCCTAGGTTGATAGAGCATCCTTAATTGAAGGTAGCGAATTGGTGACTTTAGTCGAGGAGCCAATTCGCTATTCTGTACCGAATTCCATTCGGTAGTAGAGGTTTGGTTCGTTAGGGCCTCAATCTGTTTACTCCGGTGGAGGTTAGTCGCCCGCTAGAGACTCAGATTGAGAGGGTCTGAAGACCTTTAGTCGAGACTTCAGACTGTTTGAGAACCTTCCGCAGTATAACTATCATAGAAATTGAACTTGGTAATTACAATCCGGCTTAACTGCAGACTAGGGGGAACCATATCCGGGTGACCTCTCTTAACCTGAAAACAACCGTTTAGTTGCTTTGCTTGCTTGTTAGTTTAGATCTTCACTAAAGTTTCATTGATAGATAATACGAATTCACTGAGTAGTCATCACATCTAGGACCCGGGTTGACATTAAAACCCAAACCCGCTATACTACGCTTTAGGAAGTGGTTACACTTGGCCATTTTCTAGAGTGACAGTAGGAGTGAGCCAAGTTTTTGGCGCCGTTGCCGGGGACGGCTAGGTTTTTGAAGAAAAGTGATTTCTGTTACTTTAGCATTTTCATTTTCGCATTGAGTGTTTCTTCTTTCCCACTTGTGCCTTCACGGGTTTGCATTGCTTGATTGTGTGCAGATAGTGCATGACCCGTAGCCAGTCGGGAGGTTTACTGCCGTTGGATCCAGAGATTGAACGCACCAGCCGCTAACTTAGGAGACAACAGCGAGCTAGACTGGCTACGGAAGAGCGCAGAGACGGCCAATTGAGCAGCGAGTCCGAGGACGACTACGAGATGGAAGGCGATCACAACCCACCTCCGGAGAACCAGTTCCTGGGGAACGACCCCAATCCCCAGGCAGCTGGGGTCCATCATCATCCACCACCACCGGGTCCCACCTTGGAGTACTACTACACTCCGCGGATTGCTGACATCCGCCCGGTCATCCTCTATCCGCCAAT